CAGTTTCTGTTCATGCTGCTGTTTTGTCTTCCTCTGGAGCCCAAGCATCCCCCCACCCCCCCTGTGGGCCCCGAGCGGCGCCCTCTACCTCCCGTGCTGCCGCGTGCGGGGTGCCCCCCTCTTTCCCCTGACCTCCCAGAGTGCTAGAAAATAGCACTCCAGACCTATAGATCTATCTGGACTGCCCCAAACCTCGACAGGAATCAGGACGGCGACGTCCTGGTGCTGTTTCTAAGCCCTCCTGGAAGGTCAGCGTTCCCCCCCCCCCCCTGCGCTCTCGAGGGCCCCGTGCTCCCGGCGGCTCCCCGGACGGCGCCCGCCCGGAGGCGGCGCCTCTCCGAGCTCGAGCGGCCGTCCCCAGAGCCTGCGGTGTTGCGCGAGCGTTGGGTCGGGCGCGTCCCCCTACAGAGGGATTCTCGACGAAAAGTATTTTTAAAAAATAGTCGAATAATCGAAAATATTGAAAAATAGTCGAACATATTCAAAAATAGTCGAACAAATTTGTTTACTAAATAGTCGCAAATATTCGATTAATCGAAAATAAAAATGCTCCAAAAGGGTCGAAAATATTCCAAAAATAGTCCCCCGATTTTTTGTTGACTATCTTTGAATATTCCCCCTGTAGAGGGACAGGCCCGACATAACGCGAGCGACGAAAGAGCACGGCGGTCGGCGGTGCGGGCATTCGAGCACATCCGCAGCGAAATGCGTGTTCTGGGTTTCTGAATCCGCGTGGGGGGTTGGCGCCCCCCCGACGCGGGAGACCCTCGCTCGGTCGTCGCGCCGCGACGGGGGTCGGCGCGCGCGGTGGCTGCCCGCGACGGGGGCTGTCGGCGGGGGTGGCGCCCCCCCGACGCTGATGATCGGGGGCGGCAAAGAGGAGGGTGATGACAGGGGGGGGGAGATCATGGCGTGGGCCATGATATTTTCCCAAATTTCATGGTGCCTCTTATTTCTTCTTCATTGCGCCCCTGGCCCCCCCCTCCCCCACTGGGCGCGCACATGCCGCCGGCTACGATTTGCGCCCCCCCTCTTGGACGCCCCCCTCGGGGCCCTGGAAACGACAGGGCCGGACAATACCGGTTCCGTTTTGCCGTTTTTGTTGCCGGTTCCGACGCTGTTTTTTTACCGGCTCCGTCGCCGTTTTTTGACAAGTGCCGGCTCCGGCTCCAATCCTGGAGCCGTTTCTGTTGCTGTTTCCGGTCGCCGTTTTATTGCCGTTTCCATTTTCAAGGGGCATTTTTTATGGAAACGGTGAAGAAGCGGCCTTGCCGTTTCCGGGGCCCACAAAGCGCCCAGAGCAGTACGGTTGCGCCCGGGCGCGGTAGCGTGAACGGCGGGCGGCGTGGACCAGACCGCTTTCGGGGACAGCCATGTACACATGGGTTTCCCGCTGCGTTGCCTCGCCAGAGGGTTCCCGGGGGGGCGCGCCAGGGCGCGACGTGTCTCGACGCATGGGCGTGCACGGGCCCGTGGGGGCCGGGGGCGTTATGGTTTGTGGATGATGTGTTCGGTTCTCTTGGGCGCGAAAACGTTCTACCGAAAACGTTGGGGGCCGATGCGCCAGTTCGCACAATTGGGGAGGTCTCCATCTCGGCTGCTTTCCCCTGAAAGGTTGCCGTGCAGGTTGAGCTCCTCCCGTTGGGTTGATTCGCTTGCGCGCTCACATGTTCCGTTCTTGGTTTGCGCGGTAATCGCAAAGAGTCAGTTGACCCCATTTGTCTGTCAGTGTGTTGCAACGCGCGCTCGCCAATGCATTGAATCTTGGCAAAGCGATCTCGCATTTGTCGGACGTGTATTGCAATGTCGATGGAGCGGTTTTGCCACCGTAGCGGAAAACGACCTTGTCCGCGACGGGCGACAACAAACCTTGGACCAGAGCTGGGGCAGTGATGTATCCACCCCATTGATTATCGCGTGTAACCGCCCCCTCTTCTCCATCAGGTGTGCCACGCTGGCGGCCCGCGCAATCTGCGGCGTCAGGTCGCTATGTTCACTCGCGCGACACCCGTTGCTCTTCGTCGCTCACGTGTGTGCGCAGCTATGCCTTCTCTCGCCCCGTTCGGGAAAGGTAAACAGGCGGCCCGCGCAATCTGCGGCGTCAGGTCGTCACGTTCACTCGCGCAGCACCCGTTGCTCTTCGTCGCTCACGTGTCTGCTCAGCTATGCCTTCTGTCAACCCGCTCGGGAGGGGTAAACAGGCGCTAGGTTACCAGGGACACGCGCGCCGTCTCGCCAAGGGGCGCGTGGCGTGCCACACAGCGGAGACCCATGCCAAGAAACACCCTGCTTGCTTCCACGGTGCCCTCGGTTTCTTGGGTTTCTTCGGTTTCTTGGGTTTGCCATGGGAAGCGTGACGTTCCCACACCGAGAGTCAACGGACGTCCTGGGGGTCTCAGGGTTGGGTTTCTTGCGTTCGCTCCTGGCGCAGACCCCCGCACTCCTCCACCGGCAGCGCGCTGATGGGGTCCTTCGACCAGCGTGATTCGGGGGCCCCCAAATGGTGCGGTGACCACACCGTGCGGTGAGTCGGTGGGGATTCGGGGTCACCGCATGGTTTTGAGATTCGAGGCCCTCTCCGAGGACGTCTCTGGCGACAGGGGCCTCCAGGGTCCCAAGACCGTGCGGTGACGGACCGTGCGGTGAGGTCTCTTGGGGTTCCGAGGTCACCGCACGGTCTGTCACCGCACCATTTCGGGACTCCAAAGTGACATTGGTGCGTGTTGGCTTCGCTCTCCAAGGCTAGAGGCCTCCTTAATGGGATCGGAATAGATGGGATCGGAGGATGGGGCCACATCGCCGACACATCGCCAATGCGTCGGCGACGCATCGGCGATGCATCGGGGATGCATCGGCGACATCGGCAATACATCGGCGACGTCGACGTGAAGCAAAACGGGCTCCAGCATCGGCGATGCATCGGTGATGCGGCGCGGTCCTCCGACCCCATCTGTTCCGACCCCATCCGGAAGGCTCAGAAAGGTGCCACGCTGTCAGAGGGACTCCCCGGGGAGGGCTGCACCCATGATTTTTGAGTCGGGGCGGCATTACGGCTTCGCAGGTGGAGTGGGCCCACCCGCTTTCCGTACAGCCCCTGGCTTTGTGCGTGAGGGTCGTGATCGGGTATCCTGCCGGCGGGTGTAAGCGGGATGGGCTGTCTTCGAACCTTGCGTTGTGAAGCTGATGAGGGGGAGGGGTGGGGCAGGAGAAGGATGATGGAACGGAAGTGGAGGAGGAACATGTGGAGAAGGGGCGGGGGGAAGCGCAGGACGAGAAGGCGGAAAGGAGAGGCGTCAGGTGAGACAAGCAAAAGGCTGACCGGGAGGGGGCGCAGCACGAGGAGCCAGAGGGGGGAGGGATGGGGATGGGGGGCGATTGTAAGGAGTGTGGAGGAGGAGGCGGATGAGGAGAGGAGAGGCGCAGGATGCCTTCATTCTCGCTCGTTGCTGCGCCCCCCGTCAGGCGGGACAGCCAGGGCGTGCATGTTCGTGGTCGACCTCAACACTCCGGCCTAATCCAGCTTAATCCTTTTCCGCTTTATAATCCGGCTTAATCCGGCTCTGTAGGATTTCGAATCATGCATCAAACCCAGATGGTGTAAGATCCAGTTGGGTGCACAAAAAAACCAACAATAAAGTGCCGCATTTGTTTCACAGCAGTTTTCTCCAGGCGGCAATCTGCTTCATAGTTTTAGGTGCGGATTCGACTTGCAAAAATGTGGGAAGCCGTGACGATGCGTTGCCACGCAGAGGCATCCATAGGCAGAAGGACCCGTGTTTTGGGACCGCAATCGGTCGTGGCATTACGTCCCGTTCTTTCACGCGCGACTCCGGGTCATTTTGCAGATGTTGTCCCTCGTCCTCTTTTTATCCTTAGTTATTTTTATCCACCTCCATCCCCCATGTTACCGTCCTCATCCATATTCTGAGTTGCGTGTCTGTGTTGCCGCCTGCGCTTCAAAATTTGCGCGTGCGCATGTACACTTGTGGGCGATCACGATTTGATCCCGGGCCCCATCAAGCATAGCATGTCCGACCATTCGAGAACCGAAACACCCCCATTCATGTCCAGGCCACTCGACATTCGACCTTCCCCCACACATGTGAATCATATCGCGTCCATGGTTTGTCCTCGTTGGCGATGATGTTGGTGTGTGTGTGTGTGTGGTGGGACGTGTGTTTGAATGGATCGTGGAGGCCTCTTGGGCCACTCCTTGGGGTTGTTGGGCCGTGTGGGGCGATTGTCGGTGCCTGTTGGGCCGTACTGGACGCTCTGAATACCGAGCCGGCGGTAATTCGAACCAATTTAAAAACTTGAGAATCCTGACGATGTTGGCCCCGCGGGCCGCCCTCTAGGGCTTCCAGCACCGCCCAAAAAGGCGCCTAAGAGAGCTCCATGTGAGACCATGTTGGACACGTGTGTCCCGAACAACGCGCCGTTCGCATGTCGAAAAATAACGCGGGGGCCCCGCAAGAGCGCCCAAGAGCGCCGGGGTACGCACGGAATTCTAGGGCTGTGGGTTTTCCAGAGACTTGAAGACACTTTAACTCGTGCCCCAAGGCAAAGTGGCGGATCGACTTGTTTGTCCCCATAACCGTGTGTTTGTATATATTTACACACAAAACCATATATACATACATACATACATACATACATACATACATACATACATACATACATACATACATACATACATATATACATACATACATACATACATACATACATACATACATACATAAATAATACATGCATGCATGCATGCATGCATGCATACATACATACATACACACATACATACATATCTATGTATATATATACGGATATGTTTGTATGTATATGTATATGCATGCTTTAATATTCATAAATGTATATGTGTGCACACGGCAGATGTTGAATGACTCGAGATCCATATGCATACATATGTGTGTGTCGCCGGAGACGTGAATATCCGCTTTGAAGCGAATGTCTTCCCTAACGCGCTGCGGTGTTGTCTCAAGCCCGAAAGAGCCCAGACCGTCCCGCCGCAGATGGACCCGACCGTGCTGGCAGCCTGGGGCGCGACGTGGAGCGAGTGTTGGTCGCTGAGCGGGGGTGCAGCCCCCGTCGGATTTCCAGCCCCGTTTCCTGGGCATTGCAATGACGAAGCGGCCCGACCTTGCTCTTGCGACGCGGAGCTGAGGCGGATAATTGCCCTCCAGGCGGACGGAGACCTTGGCGCTGCGGTGCCTGCTCGTGACCGGCTTCTCGGTGCTGAAGTGCCCGCGAGGTTGGAAGGCGTGTCGCGCGCGGGCGGCTACGCGGGCCAACCCCATCGCGGCGCTGGCCTGGCGACGCCTTCGCCGACAGCGACGGCGCCTGATGCCCGGGCCCTCGCCCTCACCACCGCCCCCGCCAGCGGCGGGCTGGTGACGCCGTTCAAGCGCCACGGTCGCCACTGTGTGTGTCCAGACGTTCGACGTGGCGGGCCACCAGATCCTGGTCAGTTGCGAGGGCGACGCTGCCGGCACCAAAAGGTTCACCGCAATCACTTCTGTACCCCTGGGTGGGTGTATGTGCGGCCGTTTTTGCGCGAGCATGTGCGTGCATGTGCGCAGCATGTGCCAGGCATGTGCCCTGCATGTGCGGGCGCTTTTGGATGAATGTTCTACTGTGCGCACGTGCCCGCGTATGTGCGGGGTTATGTGTATTGGATTTTGTTGCATGCATAGTAACGCACATGCCCGCGCATGCCGACGCACATGCCCGCACATGCCCGCACATGCGGAAATTGTGCGAACGTCGCAGATCGGTCAATGGCACATACACGCACATGCGCTGAATCCCGCGCCCGCACATGCTCGCACATGCCGATGCACATGCACGCACATGCCCGCACATGCGGAACATGTGCGGAACTCGCAGATCGGTCAGTGGCACATGCACGCACTTGCTTGTGTTCCCCCCTGCGGACGACGGGCCCGCACATGCACGCACATGCTCTGAATCCCGCGCCCGCACATGCTCGCACATGCCGATGCACATGGCACGCACATGTGTTCTCGGAATTTTCAGGGCTCCCTACAAGGGCCTTCAGCGCTTCGTGACCTTCGGGGCCTGGGGGGGGGTCCCAAAGTTTCTTGCGGTAATCCGGCTCTGGCCTCGGAGATGCCGTGCCCTATTGTGGTGAGGCCACTTTGGCTTGAGGCATTCTCGCAACGCTGACCTCCTAGATGCCGTGGTACATGGTGGTCTGGCTATCTTCGCGTGAAGCATCCTCGCAACTCTGGGTTCGAGATGCCGCCTTGCACTGAGGTGGTCAGGCCACTGCTGTCGCCTGAGATATCCTCGCAATTCTGGCTTCAGAGATGCCCTGAGCTCAGTTGGTCCATCCACCTTCGCCTGAAACATCCTCGCAACTCTGGATTGCAAGATGCCCTGACCTGCGGTGGTCAGCCCAAGTTGGCAGTGTGGTCTGAATTCTGGTTTCCGAGATGCCCTGAGCAGGTGGTCAGGTCACTTTTGCCAGAGACATCGGCGCAATTCTAACCTCAGAGATCCCCTGCGCTGACGTTGTCAAGCCACTGTCGCCTGCGACGTCCTCGCAACTCTGGGTTCAGGGATGTCCTGTTTTTCATCCGCTTTCGCTTGCGACATCCTCGCAGCTCTGGTTTACCAGATGCCCTGCGCAGGTGGTCAGGCCACCCTCGCCAGAAACATCCTCGCAACTCTGACGTCGGATCTGCCCTGACCTTCGGTGGTCAGGTCACTTTGGCCTGAGACGTCCTCGCAAGTCTTACTTCGGAGATGCCCTGCCCTATGGTGATCCAGCCGCTTTCGCCTGAGACATTCGCGCAACTCTGGGTTTGAAATTCCTTGAGCCCAAATGCTCAGGCCTCTGTCGCCTGAGACATCCTCGCAATGCTGACCTCGGATATGCCCCCACACGAGGTGCCAACAGTCCTTGCAGGCCTCGATCTGCGTGAGGGCTGTGCCGAAGGAGGCGCCGAGAGTTTATTTTGAATGTGAGCTTGGTGTCCGTTAGGGTTGTCGCTTGCCTGGCCCGGCATGTGCAAATGTTGTGCGTGGCTTTGCGGGGCATGAGCGGAACGTGCAACAAAGCGGGGGCAGGCCAGGCCCTGGTCGGGTGGGCAGGGTTCCGAGTTGCCCTGGGCTCAGGTGCTCCATCCACTTTCACCTGCGGCATCCCCGCAACTCTGACCTCCGAGATGAAATGCCCCATGATGGTCTGGGATTTCCTGAACTCAGATGGTCAGGTCATGTTCACCTTAAACACCCTCGCAACTCTGTGTGACCAGAGATGCCCTGCCACCTGGTGGTCTGGCCAATTTCGCCTGCGACATCCTCGCAACTCTGGGTTCAGGGATGCCCTGCGCTGAGGTGGTCAGGCCACTTTCGCCAGAGACATCCTCGCAACTCTGGGTTCCGGGAAGCCTATGCCGCCTGCGACATCCCCGCAACTCTGACCTCGGAGATGCCCTGCCCCATGATGGTCCAGCCACTTTCGCCTGAGACATCCTTGCCACGGTTTCGAGATGCCCTGAGGAGGTGGCAGGCCATTTTCGCCAGAGACGTCCTCGCAATTCTGGCATCGGATGTGCTCTGAGCTGAGGTGGTCAGGCCACTGTCGCCTGAGACATCCCCACAACTCGGACCTCGGTGATGCCCTTGCCCATGATGGTCTGACCACCTTCGCCCGAGACATCCTCGCACCTCTGGGTTCCGAGATGCCCTGCGCTGAGGTGGTCCCCTGGCCATTGTCGCCTGAGACAACTGCGCGATTCTGGCCTCGGAGATGCCCTGAGCTCAGGTGGTCCATGCACGTTCGCCTGCGGCATCCTCGCAACTCTGACCTCCGAGATGCCTTGCCCTATGGTGGTCCAGCCACTTTCGCCTGAGACATCCTCACAATTCTGGGTTCCGAGATGCCTTGCGCTCAGATGGTCAGGCCCTTTTCGCATGAGACATCCTTGCGTGATCTACATTACCGGAGCGCTGACCCCATCCTTGTGTTGGATTGTTGTTATATTATGCCACATCCATTATGTGGGTATGGTGTTTCAGTTTGAGTGCCAGCCGCATTAGCTTCCTTCGTTCTCCTCGCTTCTCCGCTCATTCCTCTTTCCTGCTCATTTGTCCCTTCCTCCTCCTCCGATGTTTCGACTCTGCGGCATGTGCGCGCAAGTGCGTTTTATGTTTTCAGAGTTTTGCAAGACTGTGCATCCGACTGTGCATCGGACTGTGCGGCATGTGCGCGCATGTGCGGCAGTGCTGTTGAGGCTTTTTGTGGAGTTGCATGGGCATGTGCATTCGACTGTGCGGCATGTGCCTGCATGTGCGGCCCCTTCTGGACTTCAATTTGAATGTGAGCACTGTAGAAGTGAGCGCTATAGAAATGAGTCCGGTGTTTTCCTCTGCCGCGCCAGTGGGGATATAATTTGTTCGACCACGGACAACGCGCCGGCGTGGCTAAAGTTGTTCGACATTCGCCATGAGGTGTTCGAGCGCAGGGCAGAGCTCCCAGCGCATTTGGCGGAGCAGATCTACGCGCACGACCCCATTTCCTGCGCGGCTCCCGCGAGCTTTTTGACGTCGGTCGAAAAGGATAAAACGACGCGAAGATCGGGACAAAATCGGATCGGGATAATTCGAAAACTCTGAGAATCGGCGGGTTTGGAGGATGTATTGGGCGCCGCGGCCGCTCCAGAGCGTTCCGGAACGCTCTGAGAGCGCTCCGGAACGCTCTGGAGCGATTTATCCCGATCCTAAATAGCCCTATTTTAAAGGACAATTGCACGTGGACGGGGAGGTGGGTCCTGTCGAGCGGATGGTCCTGGTTATTGCAGAGCCGACTTCGGAGAAGTTCGGGAGGTTGCTGCGCAAGCCTAGGGCGCCAAACCAGCAGAAAGTTTTCGGCTTCACGCCTCCATAGCAGGAGCGCGAGGTCAGGGAAAGCGCCAAGACGCTGGGCCACGAGAAAATTGGCGTGCTGTCCTAAAGTCTTCAACCACTCAAGAGCATCCGACGACCGCGCGCATTAGAGGCGCGTGGTGATGGAGATCCAGCAGCGCGGCCGCTTGACTCTTGACAGCGTCCGCGTCGGTGGCCACGTTCAAGAAAGGATCGGTCCTCTTGCAGCAGCAGCACCGTAAGATCCCACAGAGCAAGCAGAAGTTGGCGGCGCGCCGCAGCATCCTGCCGCCGCAGGCCCTAGTGCGCCCCCTGCGGTCGAAAGCCTCGTGAGCCACCAGCGCATCTATGCGGCATGTGTGTGAGAGAGAGATTGCGTTCCCACCCGCCGCTCCTGCGCCTGAGGCTCGTTGTGAGTTCATGTTGTCAGTGGCGCTTGCAAGACGAGGTGATTTCATATTAATTCTGACTGCGTCGCAACACTTGACACGTCTTGGCGGGGTTCCGACGGCCATCCCGGGGTGGTTATAGCCAGGGGTAAACATATCCCTGGGTCCTCTTCCCGCCCGCTCTGGAGCGAATGCCTTCCTCCCACACGCTGTCGTGTTGACTCAAACCTGCCCGCCCTCCACCCGCCCTCTGGAGCGTGTGCGAACTCGCAAAGAGGAAGCTGTGCCCGCTGGGTGAGATCGTATGCGCACCAGCGTGCGAGATGCTGCATGTCAGCTTGCCCTTCCTGAGCCTGAGACCCGTCGTGAATGAAAGCGTTTGCCTGTGGCATGTGCGAAGCGAGATGGCTCCATGTGAAATCGACTGCTTCAAAAACAGCTGGCGCGTCTGGATTGTGGTCCGTCTGTCATCCCTGAGCATGCATATTGATATGTGTGCAAACAGTAGTGGTCTGTGCATGGTTCAACTTTAATAATTATTTATGTTTGTATATGTATATATAGATATATGTATCTACATACATACACATTATTGTATAGATGCCTTGTTGGATCCGTCGTACAGCCTCAATCGGTATCACGATCTGTCGATCGAGATCGGTATCATTCCGTCTGTCTTCTGTTTCACCATCCACCGGTCTCACCATATACTTTTCGGGACAACCATCTCGACAGTTGCTTGATATAGCCACCCATCCACCTTTGCATCAATATTTTGTACCTTCACATACATATACACGTACATCCATTCCCCAATCAGTGCTTGCACTGAAGAGGTCCTCGCGGATGTTGAAGGATTTGGCGAAAGTGCCCCGCCGATTTTGGTCGCACGTTGGGTTCCCGGGCTCCCGGTTCTGGGTTCCCGGGTTCCCGGTTCCGGGTTCGGGGCCGATTTCGGAGGGCGGTTCTCGATCTATCTCACCATCTCACCATCGATCTCTCAATCGATCTCATTATCAATCTCACAAGCGATCTCACTAGAGATCGCATGAGCGATCTCGCAATCGATCTCGCTATCGATCTCATTGACTCGATTTCACTCGCGGTCTCACGATCGACCTTGCAGTCGTCCTCATTACCGATTCCACCATCGACCTCACCATCGACTTCACGGTCGACCTCAGGATCCATGGTATCAATGTTCAAGGCATCCACGGATGTGGGTTTTCTCAGGTGTACCCTCTCTCTATATATATATATATGGCAATGCGTGCATGTGAATCTTTTCTGAGAGTGCCTTGAGGACAAGGGGCCGCGCGTCACTGCACGCCCGCTACCGATTGTGCTCAAGCTGACACCGGCGCAGAGGCGCCGGGGGACGCATCCCCGCTTCACATGGCCTGGCTGTTTGGGCAGCGGTACCTGGACTGGCTCGTCGGCACCGTCTCGCAGACGGTCGTGAGCTGGTCGGCCCGCTGCCCGGCGTGCCCTGCGTGCCCGCAGCCGGCGGCGTGCCCAGCCTGCCCAGCGGCGGCGCCGATCCACTTCCACCCGCCCGCCGCCTGCCCGGCGGCTCCCGAGGCGCCGGCGCCCGCGCCCGCGCCCCAGCCGGCCGCCCAGGAGCCTGAAGGCCTCTCTTGGGCAGGCGGGTGGCTGACCTGCCTCCTGGTCGTCCTCAACCTGTTGGTCTTCAGCCTCCACGGGGTGAGGCTGGTCGGCTCGGCCGTGGTGAAGCTTCGACCGGCTCCGACGCCCGCCGCCCTGAAGGATGGCACAGGAGCAGGCGCCGCCGGGGGTGCGACGCTGGGCATGGGCGCAGTACGCAGGCGCGCAGCTGTGGCATCAGCGGCGCGTGTGGGGCCGGGTGATTCAGGATCCGACTGACGTCCCGTGGTCCCCACTGCGAGTGCTGATCTCGACGCCGGATGGCGACGTGTACGAGGAGCTGTACGACATGTCGGATGGGACGCTGGCTGCGGTTCGCTTCGAGGATGACCGTCGCACTCGGCCTGCTGGCCTGGACGTCGGGAACCTCTACCGCTTCCGGCGGGCGCTGACGGCGGCAGAGGAGGTGGCCATCAGGAATGAGGTGGACGCCTACGCCCGCGACGTGTTCCTCGACGCGGAGCGCGCGGCCGGGCGGCCCGGGGTGGTGCCGCCCGCGGGGGCTGCCGTGTACTTCACGTTCGGTGCCGTGCCTGGTGACGCTGCCGCGCCTGGGCCCGCACCCGCCGCCCCCGCCGCCGGGGGAGGGGCTGCTGTGGCCGCCGCCCTGGCTGTGGTACCGGCTGGCCCCGCCGCGCCCGCGGCAGTGCCGCCTGCTGGAGCTGCTCCAGTGGCGGCAGCCGCCGCACCGCTCGCCGCTGCAGGGGCTCCCCCAGGTCCCTTGGGGCCGAATGCCGTTCCTGGAGCTGACGGGCAATGGGTCTACGTTGAGACCACGACGACGGCCCGACGCGGAGACCCGGTCACGTTGGACGGGACTGAGCTCGTGCGGGGGGCGATCGGCTTGAAGCAGGATGCCGGCGGGAGCTGGTCGGCCATACGTCGGATCACGACCTCGCAGGCTGCCTACCGAGGCGCCGAAGCCCTCGCCGATGCTCGCCTCCAACCCGTGGCCCTGCTTGGAGACGGCTCGAGGCAGCGCGTGCAGTTTCACGAGAGTGTCGACAGACTACGCGAAGAGCCCTTCCCCGACTGGCCGCTGGACGGCCCGAGGACCACACTATGGTGCCTCCGCTTCCTGGACAGGAAGCGCGGGGGAGCCATCGAGCACTTCCACCAGTTTGTGTCCTACTACCGGCTGTCCCGCGATGACTTCGGGGTCACGCACTACGAGTCCATCATGCGGATGGTCGACTACCTCATGACGTGGGACCTCCTCGACTTGCCCAACGTGGTGGGCGTCGAGGTGATGCTGCGGCAGGCGCAGCTGTACGAATACATGTACGCCATGGAGTACGAGGCGCGCGACTCGGGCGCCTACGCTGCTGGCCCGGCCGACGGCGAGCCCAAGGCGAAGGCGAAGGGCAAGCCCAAGAGCCGGGCCGGCGGTGGCTTCTTGAAGTTCGGTTTCGTGGATGAGGTGGGGGTCTTCACGGGCACCGCTCGCGAGGACGGCCGCATGATGGTGGCTCCGGCACTATTGGAGCACGTGGCCAAGCAAGTCGAGCGTGACGCTGGAATCCTTAAGCAGATCAGGAAAGCTAAGGAAGAGCGTCGCGCTCTGGCTCCATGATGGAGCGGGATCTGGAGGCGGGCTCCCCGACCGGCTTCAGCGACTCTCTAGGGGGCTTCGCGGACATGGCCTCCCGCGCTGCAGATGTACATGGGGCCCCGCCAGCTCGTCAGCGACGACATCGGGATCTCTTTCCGCTCCCTGTGCCCGCCGGTGACGAGCGTAGTTTTGTGGCTGCAGACCTCTCTCGCACTACTAAGAGGCGACTCCACAGGACCAGTCACCGCCGCGCGATGGTCGTCGACGCCATCCGCGCCATGAATGAGATGCACACTGGTTCGAGCTGTCCGCGGGCCACTGGTCTCACTGGCCCCACGACCGCCCAGCAGGAGGCTCTGGCGGTGATCCAGGAGGCCGTCGACGCCTTCGGAGTACCCCCGCCCGACCTCACTCCCGCAGGAGCCCTCGAGGAGCTCCGCGTCGCGCAGTCATACGACCAGGGGTCCGCCGTGATTGCGCCGGTGACCTTCGACCGCGTCGATCTGATCTCCCTGCCGAGCGTGGGCTCCGAGCCGAAGCCCTTGTCTGCGCTCATCGGGGACGACAGCATGAGTATTGGTCATCGCCTTCAAGAACTACTCTTGCCCCGTGAGCGGGGGCTTGCCCGGGTCGCGGAGCACGCTCCGAGGAGGGCGTATTCGGATCCTAACTTGAGGAACCCTCGTTTGTATAAGAAAGTATTGCACCGTCTTGTGTCATCGCACCTCGTTGAGTTTCATACCGAAGCGTTGAGTTCAGTGGGAATGTTCTTCGTCTATAAGAAATCCGGGGCCCTGAGGCTCATACTGGATGGACGGATCCCGTCCCAGTTGTTCGACGAGCCCCCAAAAGTGAAGCTGGCAACTGGGGCCGCTTTCTCTCAGCTCAGGGTTGACAGTCGGGAGCCTGTGTGTGTCGCTGGTGTGGACATCGCGGATGCCTTCTATACCATGTTGCTCCCACCCTGGCTTCGTCGGTACTTCGGACTCCCCAAGATCAGGGCTGGCGAGCTGGGAGTCTCGGTCGATGCGAATGGGCGGCCCGTGACCCCTACTCAGTGGGTCTATCCGTGCTTCAGGTGTCCTCCGATGGGCTTCAGTCTCAGTCTTTGGTTGTGCCAGTCGGTGAACGAGATCGTCTCGCAGCGTGCTGGCCTCGTCAGGCCGGAGCGGGTCCTAGTGGATCGCCAGCCTGCCCTTGTCGTCGACTCGGGAGTTGTTCATACCGAATACGTCGACAACTTCGTTGCGCTGTCGCTTTCGGAGCCCTCTGCTATCGCTGCCGCCCGTCAGGTCGATCATCATATGCGTGCTGTGGGACTGCCTACTCACGGGGTGGAGAGCGGAGTGGGCGGGGAGACTCTTGGCTGGTCCTTCGACTCGAACTCGCCCGTGATCTCGCTCAACCCCCGACTTAGGTGGAAGCTGTACCTTGGGATTCAGGAGGTCCTCCGACGTGGGTTCTGTTCTGGAAAGGAGATGGTGAGGATCGTCTCGCACATCACGTCCAGGGTGCTCATTAGGAGGGAGCTCCTCTCGTGCCTGGGGGCCGTCTACAAGTTTGGGGAGGTCTACCACAATCGCACCGCTAAGCTCTGGCCCGTCGTCCGTCGAGAACTACGCTGGGCCCGGGCTCTCCTCATCTTCTGCAGCAGGGACCTCGGGCTGCCCTTCGACACCACCCTCACATGCCTGGATGCATCGTCTTGGGGGTTTGGAGTTACCCAGCGGGAGGTCTCTGAGGACTCGGTCAAGCGCCTGGCCCGGTACAACGAGCGTTGGAGGTTCTCTCGAGAAGCTGAGCGCCAACGCCTTGGGCCCCGAGCCGCTGCTGTCTCTGGTCAAGGCTCCTCTGGGGCCGTCCCGGACGGTCCCGTGGTCTCCGACGCGGTCCCCAGCTTCGAGGAGGTCCCGCCCGACATCTGGAGGGGCCACTGGCACCCGGTCCTCTCGGTGCCCTGGCGGCGCCCAGCCCCTCAGGTCATCCTGGAGGCCAGGTCAGGCGTGATGGCGCTTAAGCACAAGCTTCGCTCCAAGAGGTCCTTTCGGAAGGCTCACGTTATGCTGAACGATGCCATGGCCCCCATCTTGGCTCTGGCAAAGGGGCGGTCTTCGGCGCCCGCCCTCCTCGCCGTCTGCCGACAGGTGGCATGTCTGCTGCTGGCCTCAGGCTCGGCGGCTTACTGGAGGTGGCTGCCGTCCGAGTTCAACTCTGCCGACCCAGCTTCGCGGAATCGGCCTGGTGCTAGGCCCGAGGCGTGGTATGCTCCAGCGGTCGTCGCCCCAGGGAGCGTCTGCTGCCAGCCCGCCGGGCGCCCTCCGCAGGCGGCCCGCGGCGGCTCCAGCAGCCCCAGCGCCCACCCGCCTTGGGCGCCGGAGCCGCTCCCAGGGCGCAGCTGCGCTGGTCTGGGGGGACCAGGCGGACCGCCAGGTCGCCAGGAGGCGCGCCTTCCCCGCCGCCAACACGGCGGCGTCCTCGGGCTCGCTGACCTTCCTGGAGACGCAGGCCGTGGGGGAGGCGACCCGCCGGGACTATGCCGACAGGGTCTCGAAGTTCACGAGGTGGGCGACCTCGGCCCGGCTGCCGATCGAGGATGTGCCCGAGCTGGACATCGCCCTGGTGACCTTCTTCAACCAGCTGTTCTTCGACGGCTACCCGAGCGAGGAGGCGACGAAGTACATGGCGGCTCTGGCTCATTGCCGCGCGGCGCCCGGACGGCTACAGGTGGCCTTCCCGAGGGCCGCTCGTGCTGCGAAGGGCTGGGCTCGGCTGGTACCGCCTCGGTCCCGACTGCCACTGCCCTGGCCGATTGCCTGCCTGATGATCGACTGGATGCTGGATGCGGGCGAGGCAACAGCGGCGGCGGCGACGGCCGTCTGCTTCGCGCTGTACCTTCGGCCGGCCGAGTTGCTCAGCCTGACACGCGAGCAGGTGGTCCCGCCTGCCGAGGGCGCCCCTCCGGGGCGAACCTTCCTGAACTTCTGGTCGGTGGTTCTGCGCCCGATGGAGTGCGCCCAGCCTTCGAAGACGGGGGTCTACGACGAGGGTCTCCTCCTGGACAGCCCGGAGTTCACCTGGCTGCCACCGCTGCTGCAGACGCTGCGGGCCCGTGCCGCGCCCGGCGGCCGCGTCTTCGACATGAGCTACAACCAGTGGGCCCTCGTCTTCAGGCGAGCTGCGACAGCGCTGCACCTCGGCGTCCTGGGGCCCCCGACGCTCTACACCCTCCGGCACGGGGGGGCCTCCCACGAATACCTCGCAAAGTTCAGGAGCCTCGACGAGATCAAAAAGAGGGGGAGGTGGGTGTCGGACTCGTCCCTGCGGCGCTACACCAAAGGGGGCCGCGTGGCAGAGCAGTTGCGACGGCTTCCGATCTCCGAGCAGCGCCGTGCCACGCGCCTAGTCGGCATCATTGGCGGGCGCCTCTCCAAGGTCTGGCTCGGCATGTAGAGGTCGTCGGCCAACCCGTGTTCCTGGAAGTGTTCAGCGGGTCAGGGCGCCTCTCGCTGTCGTGGCGGCGTGTCTCCCGCGGCCGCTTGGCCGCATTTGAGCTGGACCTCAAGCATGACCCGGCCGCAGACCTTCTGCAGCGCCGAGTTCAGCAGCTCGTTCGTGGATGGCTTCGATCAGGCCTTGTGGCAGCTGTGTGGTTGGGCACGCCTTGTCAGTCGATGTCGCTCGCTCGCAACCGACCGAATGGCCCCCCTCCGCTCAGGAGTAGCTCACACCCTCAAGGCCTTCCTGGATTGTCACCGAGTGATGCCTTGAAAGTTTTGCAAGGAAATAGGCTCTGTGCGTTCAGTTTTAGTCTTTTTGAGTTGGCGCTGTCCCTTGGGATCCCTGTCGGCCTGGAAAACCCGGGGTCCTCCTGGCTCTGGAAGCAGCCTGTGGCTGAAAGAGTCTCGAAACGGCCCGGGGTCCAGCGCCTGTCCATAGACTTCTGCGCCTTCGGCACTCCGTGGCGAAAGCGCACCGCGATCCTTTATGCTAATGCTGATTTGTCATGTCTGCGTCCTTTCAAGTGCTGTAGTAAAGGTATTTGCTCTTTCTCAGGTAGGCCCCACACTGAACTCGCCGGCAAAGATAAAGCCGGCCGTTTTCTCACGGCTATCGCCGAACCGTACCCAAGAGACCTGTGCGTACATATCTCTCGTGCGCTTCTCAATGCTCATCGGAACCATGTGTTTCGGGGGATGTTTAATAAAGTGGCCCCTCGCCTTTAAGTCGAGTCTCCAGACATATGGTTTCGGAGGTCTCCGATTTTGTGGTGTTGTGCTGACTGGCGTCGGTCTCGAGGACTGGCGCCCGATTGCATCCTCTCGTCTAGAGCTCTGGGCACCAGTAAGCACACAGATCAAACCTTCGGTCTGGCCACTGAGGATAAAGGGCTCCTCGGAAGAACAGATGGCAATGCGTGCATGTGAATCTTTTCTGAGAGTGCCTTGAGGACAAGGGGCCGCGCGTCACTGCACGCCCGCTACCGATTGTGCTCAAGCTCCCCCCCGAGCCCACCCGCGGAGCAAAATCTACGCGAGGTGTTGTGCTGACTGGCGTCGGTCTCGAGGACTGGCGCCCGATTGCATCCTCTCGTCTAGAGCTCTGGGCACCAGTAAGCACACAGATCAAACCTTCGGTCTGGCCACTGAGGATAAAGGGCTCCTCGGAAGAACAGATATGTATATATGTATCTATATGTGTATCTTATGAATCTATTGTTCCATACCAATATGTTGGGCCAGGCAGGCATACCGGCCCCTGCGCAGACCGAGGTCGGCCAGAGGGCACCCCCCGCTGGCTCGCAGAAGGTGGGCCCCCCCCCCCGCCCGCTCAGAGGTGGGGCGCCCGCTGGAGCGGCCGGGCGCGGACGCCGCCCTGAGCAGGGTGCCCGCGGGCGTGGTGGCGGGGGCGCGCCCCGGCCGCACCCGCCGCGGAGGAGTGTCGAAGAGAAGGAGGAGGGGGGGGGGGAGGAGGAGGAGGAGGAGGAGGAGGAGGAGGAGGAGGAGGAGGAGGAGGAGGGAGGAGAGGAGGAGGAGGAGGAGGAGGAGGAGGAGGAAGGAGGAGAGGAGGAGGGAGGCGGAGGAGGAGGAGGAGGAGGAGGAGGAGGAGGATCGAGGAGGGTAAGCGCAGAGGGTCTTTAAGGATGCCCCCCCACTTTAGTCTCTCGGCGGGAGCAGGAGCTCGTGCCTCCTCCTCCTCCTCCTCCTCCTCCCCCTCCTCCTTCTCCTCCTTCTTCTCCTGCTCCTCCTCCTCCTCTTCCTCCTCCTCCTCCTCCCCCCCTTTGTCTGGGCTCCGTTTCGTAGTGGGCCTTAGTGGGCCTTATTGGGCCCCGGAAACGGCAGGGCCGTTTTTCACCGTTTCTGGAAAAGTGTCCCTTGAAAACGGAAACAGGAAAAAAACGGCGAATGGAAACGGCAACAGAAACGGCTCCAGGATTGGAACCGGAGCGGGAACCCGTACAAGAACCACAAAATAGAACTGGTAAAAAAATGGCGTCGGAACCGTCAAACAAACGGCAAAACGGAACCGGTAGGAAAACGGCCCTGTCGGTGCCAGGGCCCACTAAGTCGGTACCTACGGAGATTTTCCAGAAGTTGTCTCCTACAGTGGAGACCCATGCCAAGGAACGCCCTGCTTGCCTCCAGGGTGCCCCGGGTTTTCTTGGGTTCCGATGATTTTGCGATGGCGAGCGCGACGTCCCACGCCAAACATCAGCTGGCGTCATAGGGGTCTCAGGCTTGGGTTTCGTGTGCAAGGTGTCTTGTGGACTGGCCTCCTCTCGAACGCATGCCCAGGCGTCTTGGCTGCGGCCTCGGAGGCCCCAGCGTGAGGTCCGGAGGCCGAGCATGACGGGATTCTTGGTCGCCCGCGGGGGCGTTGAGATATAATCGCGCTGTGCGCGTCGCGGTCCAGGCCAGGGCGGCTGCCCCCCTCCAAGGGGCCGGCGCCAGGACGCGAGGGCGCAGGAGTAATGATGTTGCTCCCATCGTACAGAAAGACCAAAGCCCAGACTCTGCAGACATGATTCCGAGCGCCAAGAAAAGCATCGAAGCAGTGTCGGACGAGTATCGCCTCCCAGCTCCCGACGCGTGGACATCCTCCAGTTTCGGCCCTCTCCTGGTGCTCGAAATCCTTTCCTGGTGGCGTCAGGCTTAAAGCAGGTTGGCACATCATGAGGGTCATCGCGAGTCGCGGGGCGCGAGGCGCTCGGCCGGGTGACCTCACGTGTTTTTGTCCACTACGCGGGGCGGTAGAAAGAAACAATGACAGTCGGCCTTGATTTGGAGGTCGACCCTGCCAAATCAAGGGTACCCTTCTGTCCTGTGCCTCGCGACCAATGCCTCCTGCATTCCTACGGCGCTGTGGCCCTCGGAAGGGTCTTGTGTCCTGTCTCATGTCCTGTCCAAGCTCAAAGTTGGCACGCGCGGGGAAGACTGCGCCAACACTGATCCTTGAGGGAGGAAATGGGCAGATGATTGCGGCATGCGTGTCCGCGAATTTCTTCCGAGGCGGGAGGGAGGGAGGGAGGGAGGGGGAGGGGGAGGGGGAGGGGAGGAGGAGGAGGAGGAGGAGGAGGACGAGGAGGAGGAGGAGGAGGAGAGGGACCAGGGAGGAGGGACCAGGGAGGAGGGAGGAGGGAGGAGGGAGGAGGGAGGAGGGAGGAGGGACGAGGGACGAGGACGAGGGAGGCGGAGGAGGAGGAGGAGGAAGGAGGAAGGAGGAGGGAGAGGGAGGAGGAGGAGGGAGGAGGAGGAGGAGGAGGAGGAGGAGGGAGAGGAGGAGGAGGAGGAGAGGAGGCGGAGGAGGAGGGGGGAGGAGGAGGGGAGGAGGAGGAGGAGGAGGAGAAGGAGGAAAGGAGGCGGAGGCGGAGGCGGAGGAGGAGGAGGAGGAGGAGGAGGAGGGGAGGAGGAGGCGGAGGGAGGAGGAGGAGGAGGAGGAGGAGGAGGAGGGAGGAGGAGGAGGAGGAGAGGAGGAGGAGGGAGGAGGAGGAGGAGGAGGAGGGTGGGGAGTGGGAGGGGGAGGGGGGGAGGGGGAGGGGGAGGGGAGGAGGAGGAGGAGGAGGAGGAGGAGGAGGAGGAGGAGGAGGAGGAGGAGGAGGAGGAGGAGGAGGGGGAGGGGGAGGAGGAGGAGGAGGAGGAGAGAGGAGGAGGAGGAGGAGGAGGCGGAGGAGGAGGAGGGGGAGGAGGAGGAGGAGGAGGAGGCGGAGGAGGAGGAGGAGGAGGAGGAGGAGGAGGGAGGAGGATGAGTGAATGGACTAGCGGTGGCCTTACGGCAGCAGGCGGCTTGGGCCCAAGACGGCCGGCACGGGCCACGGGCCAAGGGCTCCCGCTTGCCGCGCAGGACCGCGCCGCCCATCAGCAGGCCTCGGAGGACGCCGGCCATATCGAAGAGGAGCAGACTGCAAAAGCAGGAGCTGATGGGCTAGTGTTCCACCACCACCACCACCATAAATCGGAGGGGGGAGGAGGAGGTGGAGGAGGAGGAGGGCGAGGAGGAAGAGGGCGAAGAGGAGGAGGAGGAGGAGCAGGAGGAGGACCCCACCCTCCAACTTATGGTGATGGTGGTGGAAACACGCCCATCATGAGCTTTCGAGACATCGCGCGGACAGATCGGATCGGCTCTGGCCCTTAATTCGGAGAAGAGAAACGGCACAACCATAAGATATTGGCGCTCCGCGCGGATTTCTTGGATCCGCGCTGGGCCCCCCTGGCGGCGCCTCTGGCGCCGCCCCTGGTGCGCTGCTCGCGCCAGGGAGGGGGCTCCAGAGCGGATCCAAGCAATCCGTGTTTTATTTTCCGTGTTTTCTGTTTCTTCCGTGTTTTCTTTTTCTATTCCTGCTTGGCGAGCGGAGCGCGCCGCGGGCGGCGCCAGCGGGGGTCCAGGGCCGATCCGAGAATTCCGCGCGGGCTTCTGGCCGCTTGCGCTTCTGCAATTCGCCTCTTCTGAACCTCACCATCTTCCTCCTCCTCCTCCTCCTCCTCCGCCTCCTCCTCCTCCTCCACCTCCTCCTCCTCCTCCTCCTCCTCCTCCTCCTCCTCCTCCTCCTCCTCCTCCTCCTCCTCCTCCTCCCCCCTCCTCCTCCCCCTCCTCCTCCCCCTCCTCCCCCTCCTCCTCCCCGTCCTCCGCTCGTGCACCGCCACCGCGTCCGGCCAGGGCGATCCCCTGGCGCGGCAGGGCTTGCCCCTCCGGGCGTCTTCGCCCGACCTCGGCCCCGCGTGGGCTCCGCGGCTCGAAACAGCGGCCCCCTGTGGACCTCGCTAGGGAGCCACATGTGAACCCAAATGGGGGAGGGGGAGAAGGAGGAGGAGGAGGAGGGGGAGAGGAGGAGGGGGATGGGGAGGGGGGAGGAGGAGGAGGAGGAGGAGAGGAGGAGGAGGAGGAGGAGGAGGAGGAGGAGGAGGAGGAGGAGGAGGAGGAGGAGGGAGAGGGGGAGGGGGAGGAGGAGGAGGAGGAGGAGGAGGAGGAGGAGGAGGAGGAGGAGGAGGAGGAGGAGGAGAGGAGGAGGAGAGGGAGGGGGAGGAGGAGGAGGGGGAGGAGGGAGGAGGAGGAGGAGGAGGAGGAGGAGGAGGAGGAGGAGGAGAGGAGGAGGAGGAGGAGGAGGAGGAGGAGGAGGAGGAGGAGCAGGAGGGGGAGGAGGAGGAGGAGGAGGGGAGGAGGGGGAGGAGGAGGAGGAGGAGGAGGAGGAGGAGGAGGAGGAGGAGGAGGAGGAGGAGGAGGAGGAGGAGGAGGAGGAGGAGGAGGAGGAGGGAGGAGGAGGAGGAGGAGGAGGAGGAGGAGGAGGAGGAGGAGGAGGAGGAGGGGGAGGGGGAGGAGGAGGAGGAGGAGGAGAGGAGGAGGACGAGGACGAGGAGGAGGAGAGGAGGAGGAGGAGGAAGAGGAGGAGGACGAGGAGGAGGACGAGGACGAGGAGGAGGAGGAGGAGGAGGAGGAGGAGGAGGGCCCCCGAGGAGAAGGCGCGCGGGGCGAGGGACGGCCGGAGGTGCCAGGAGGGTGTGGTTCACTTCGTTCGGGAGCTCCCAAGCGAAGTGAACCCCGCCCTCCCCCTCAGAGATCGTGGTGGGTAGGGGCAGGGTTCGCATGTGGCCCACTACTCGCGGGTCGACGCAGCTCCTGGCGCGCCGCAGCAGGGCGGGGGCCAGAGTTCGGTCGGGCATGTTTCTCCGCGGGGGGAGCCTTTTAAAAAACAGGAGCAGCATAGTATGGGGACGATTTGTTTCTTAGTATGTCTGAAGGTTTCACTTGTTTTGTTGCATGTGTTCATTTGCCTGTAGGAGGACGTGCCCGACCAAAGCCCAGAGCTACGGTCTGGACATTTTTTTGTTCTGGGGACGTCGGGCCTCAGGGGTGGGACGGTGCAGTGGCCTCCCGTCTCCTGCCTCCCTCCTCCCTGCTTCCCCCTCCTCGAGCCCTCCGCCCGCCTTTCCTCCTCTCCTCCTCTCCTCATCCTCTCATCCTCTCCTCTCCTCCTCGCCTCCCTCCTCCCTCCCTCCTTCCTTCCTCTTCCCCCGGCCTCCTCGTCGCGATGGCTGGCGTCCTCCCGCGTCCGCCGCGGCCATGGGGATCTCTCGCGACTCGCGCCACAAGCACCGCAAGACCGGCGGCCGCAGGAGCCATGGGGGCGCCACGATCGAAGCGGTTACGGAAAGAACGGGGGCGACGATCAACCGCAGTTTTTGCCCATTTCGCGCAGGACTCGCCGTCGGTGTTCCCGCGGACGTCCAATGGAGGCGCCAGATCGCTTGCAAAGCAGCGGCCGCCGTCGGCTTTCGACAACGCTTGCTGCCGGGCATCGCGACCGCGTTCTCAAGTGAAGAATGGCGTGCCAAAGGGGGAGGCTCCTGAACGCTTGCGTCAAGCCTTCAGGCCTACTCCTTTTGATTGTTTTTCTGCACTGCCCGTTCAATGTT